ATAAAAAAAAAATTTGTTAAATTGATAGTCAATTTAACTCGTGATATTACTGCGGTAGTTTAGTAGAGTTAGCGTTTCAAGACTGGAAATTTTTTGGCGCGCGTTTCTGTGGGACTACATACGTAGTATATAAATTCACATAAGAATCATACAAGCATTAAAGATCTAGACCGTGCAAGGCTTTGATTTCTATAGTTTGGTTTAATATATTATATTATATCAATATTTTAATACATACAAAAGTACAAAAAATCTTGGATCCTTAAAGTATTTTGAAAAGCCACCCAAGCTGGGAGATTTAAAAGATTTAATTTAATGTCCAATCTTTCCGACTGCCCAAGGGTCTCCACTCTCCCCTATCCATTTTATTACTTATCATGCTTACTATTGCTATTGTAGCTCTTGGTACGAAAGTTGTCATTATTACAATAATCGTGATCCAACTGTACCAAAGTTCTACTGACTGTTCTACTCTTAGCATCATTCGATACCTAAAAAGTGTTATAATGGTGGATTATTTTACATCAAACATCTTGCAATAATAATCGATATGTGAGAAATAGATGCGCGCACATATATATTCAAATCATGTCATAATACTTAAGGAAAGAACTTACTGTAGGAACTATTTTCAAAATCTTGTTACAGGAAATAACTCTGTCTTCCATTCGTGGACTCTTACGTTTTTTACTTTGTATATTTAGCGTAGCAATTTTCGGACTAGTTTTTCTACGTTCTGATAGCTAAAGTTCAACAAAATAATCATAATTAGATCGTATACTAACCTACTTAAATATTAAAATATTTATTAAAATAATAGAGAACCTTTGTTTTATTGATTATTTTTTTAGATAAGATTGAGGGCTGTTGATTGGAAGCTTGAGAAACGGATTTCTCCGATATGTTAGCCCTGCACTCTTGAGTCACTTGACATATTTTATTTGGTCTCGTGTCATATGTGTGATCATTTTTAACGGTCGATTTATTGCATGGATTTGGATTCTCGCAAGCCTCAAATTTTTCTAACAAACTCTTTGCATCGTGTGCTTCTAGTACTAAAAAAAAATAAATCTCAATAAAATGTTACAATACTAATGTTTACTTAATAGTTTGATATGAATCTAAATTGATTTAATTACTTGGTATTTCATCTCGTGGTATCGTTTCAACATCTACACAATCTTCTTGCTCCTCTGCTGCCTTGACTTTAATTCTCATTGTATTTTTATACATAATTGGTATTATATCTTCTTTCGTTTTCTTTTTCCCTTTTGGATTTTGACTTTTTGTCTTGATATTTGCTTTATTTTTATTTTTTACATAAGACAACACAGGCAGCGTACTAAATGGAGGCTTAAATACTTTATCCATTTCTTGTTCAGTACAAATTTCTTGTTTAATAAAATTTTCTAGTCCAGAAAAATTTTCTTGTTCAGCCTCTATTTCCATGTTTACTGTATTACCAAATATTTCAGATGGAGCTCCTTTTAAAATATTAAAGGAAAATGTTTTATTTTTTTATCAAAATTAACAACAAAATTTAACAATCATTGATTACAAACCAGTTTCATGTTTTTCTTCATTTAATTTTAGTTCACTAGGTTTCTTATTTATTTCAATCATATCTTGATATATATATATGTTCTTGCTAGGTGTCGTTAAGTAATCCTCTTGAGAGAATGACTGCAGATTGGACACAAGCATTTTATTATTATATTGTATAATTCTTAAACAATGGAATTCATATACAGTATTCATTAATTGTAAAGAAAAACTTCCCACCTGTAGTGAGGTTGCAAGCAGATCTTCAACAAGCCTAGTTGTTTCGCTTCTAAAAGAAATAATTAAATGTATTTACATGTTGTACATTTGTTACAATTATCATATATACATATAACATTCTTGAATAAAAATAGTATACTTACTTTTCTTGATTATTACAAAAGGAATTGCACATTGCGTTTAAATCCTCTGCTGAAATATTGTCAATTATATCCATCAGCCGTGAATTCTGAAATTTTTTATGCAAATAAATATTTATTAATAAAGAAATAATCATATTTTTTTCTCATATATTTAGCTTTATTTCGATTGGCATTTTTGTAAATACGTTTTTATGTTTATAGTTTTAAGGAGAAGTAAGTGTTTTTGCATTTTTGATAAAATAATTATATAATTTTTATTATAAAATTTTTTTTAATTAATCCTAATAGCACAGATCTCCAAGAGACGTTCCAAAGAACATTCAGAGGATATCCCTGTGTCCTAAGAATGTTCGCCAGAATGTCTCTCGAATAAAGTGTGCTATTAGGGAAATGATGAAATTATAGTCTATTCATTTCTAAAGAGATTTAAAAGATTAAAGACCGGTAATTTCAAAGAAAAACGAATCTAAAAATAAAAAATATGACTACCGGAAAATGTGTTGCAAAGATTTTGTTATTATTTGACATTACAATCTCACATCTTTTACAATGATTTATTCCCTTTTCTTTATATATGTGAATATATATATATATATTTAATTGTTAATAACTTTTTAATTAAAAATGTGCAAACGAAAAATCAACTTGTTTCAAAATATGCAAACGATAATATATCGATTGAAACTAAATAAATCTAATTTGTTCGTGGTTGGCAGACTAATGTGAAATTAATCCAAAAGTGTTTTTTCAATAACTTTTTTTAAACACCAGAAGTGTGCAAACGAAAATTCGAAATCATGGTGTCCAGCAAAATCTGGCTACTCAATTCAAGAACAATTTCGATGGTTAGATCCTGGAAAAACTAAAGTAAAAATCCTTTAGTTTTTCCAGGATCTAACCATCGATTAATTTTCATTATTTAATTAATTTTCATCAGTTCGCGCAATATTATATAGTTTGTATTCAAGTTAGGATTCTATATAAATAAATTAAAACTTTAAAAAATTTGGAATAATATTATTTATATTGCTTTATAAATAATATCAAATGAATATTCAACACAAACGATAATTTCTCTGCTATATTCTATTTTATAATTGTAGATAATAAATCCAAATTTTTTTTTGTTAAATTAGTTTGATATTATTTATGAGATAGTGAATAATATTAGTCCAAATTTTTTTCATTTCAACATTTATTATATAAAATCCTAACTTGGATTCAAAACATAATAATATAATGGTGCGAATCACAATAAAAATTAATTAAGTAATGAAAATTAATCGACGTGGAAAATAGTGATGCATTTCGATACGATAAGAATCTCGAATATCGTCTCGGAATTTCTCGTATCGAAAAAATATCATTTCCGAGATTATCATATATCTTTTGTTTTTCTCGTCTCGGTCTCGTCTCGAAAAAATCGGAGAAATATCGAAATAAGAAATAAACATTACCACCGTCATTTGTCTGACGTACACAATTTGTAAATTGCGAATTTACTTTCATTTTCGCCTTTTACAAATGAAAATGAAACGAGATAGTCGATATTCTTGAATGTCTCGCGATAAAATTCGAGAATCTCGAAAAGCGAGAATATCGGGCCATTGAGACGAGAATATCGTATCAATCATTTTTGTTTCTGTCGAGACCAAATCTTGGTATCGGTATTTTCGTCTCGTCTCACTCGAATGCATCACTAGTGGAAAAGTAAGGGTTTTCCAGGAGTTTTCTAGGATACATTAAATTCCAGGATAGTTTTAAGATTTAAGGACATTTAAGGCTGGACACTCTGAAAAAATTAAGATTTTTTTTTAAGAATTTAAAATTATGTCGCGACATAGTAAACAATTCCATGAATTAAAATGTTGAGACACAAAAATAATTCCGTATTTCTATTACGTTTCAGCATAGTTTGAATTCAGAGAATTACTTATGTCACATGATCTTAATTCGCTAATAAGAATCGAAATTCTCTTTAGAGTTTTTAAGAGTTTTACATTAGACGAAATTTATTTTGTGCTATTAAAACGGTTTGCCTTAAACATACAATCGATTTAATATATTTTTATTCAAATTATAATTAGTCTAGAAATTCTCGTTTTAAATTTCTCAAAAATAATGGAATGCGTTACTAAAGTGCAAAGAGACAAAAAAACAAAGTTCTTATACCTGCAAAGAGACAAAAAAACAAGTTCTTATACCTGCATGTCAATTCTGAATTCTAACCACTTAAGCTCGATTGCACCAACGTTACTTTGACTTTAAGCGAAGGAGCTCTGAACAATAAAAGGAACAGAGAATACGAATTTTAACCTATCAGAAATCTGATAGGTTAAAATTCTTATTCTCTGTTCCCTGTTTCTTTCATTATGCGGAACCCCTAAGAACCTCTCCATCCTTTTTTAAAGCCGAAAGAGAGAGAAACAGAAATGTGAAAAATGAATAAATTCTTTTTGTCTCTTTGACCTTACGATGGATTTTCCCGAGTTTTGAATATAATCGGCATTGTATATAGAGTGACAACAAAAATTGAGCATTTCTATTTCTGTAAAAGAAAGGAATGCAAGCGCTTTTTTCTTAAGCATATGGTCAGTCAATATAATTTGCAGCAAAACATGCGCATTCCTAGAAACATAATCTATATAAGAAATATTACATAGATAAGTCTATACTTTGCAACCTACCCATCTTTTATTCACATTTTTTAAATAAATTTTACGTTATTGTCTATTTAAATGTATACGTACTTTTTTTATCAAGACTTACAAATACAATATTAAAATTAGAATACAAGACTGCTTATGCGAATAAATCAATTAACAATAAGTACGAGAAACGCTGTTCAAAGAGTAAGGTGTTGGAATAAAATGTCTATGTATATTTAAATAATTTTTATCTCAGATATTTGATTGCACGCCAATTACTTTTGCTTTTGCAGCACAATATATATATAATATATTGAAATAATAATATTCCTTCCAAATTAAATTAAATCTTCAATGCTATTAGCATCTTAAACCTTACTTAAATACGATTTTAATATTTGTTAGAAAAAGTTTACAAATATTAATATATTTTTTTACCTTTCAGATGTATATAATCTCTTAAAACAATATTTCAGAAAATTATTGTTGAATGAATAGCAAAAATAGTGCCCGCATAAAAAAATCATTTTTAAAAGTTTGAATACTGCTTAGCGTATGAATTAAAATTAATGAAGTGAAGTTCTACAAAAGAATCTACACATGAATAAAAAAGAATACAGATCTAAAAATTTTATCTATGGTTACGAATTCCTTTTCATTTTATGCTTTTGTAGACTTTACAATTTTTCATGGTATTGATTGTCAGATAAAATAGGAACTTTATTTAGGTATCAGTTGCTTTCCAAACGTTTTTTCTTTTATGTTCTAGATTTTAACAACTTTCACCGAGAACCTTTATTACTACCGAAATCTTTAAAAGTACGTTTTTAATTATACCTAGATATTATTTAGATAAGAAGAAACCTGAATGATCTTATATGCTTCATCCCGACAGTAATTTTAGCACACAAGCTTAAACAAAAATACCATTTTTTTCTATAAATAATTTAAAACATACTATAAATAATTCTATAAATATATCATTTTAAATAAGCAATCAAAGAAATTACGGGCAAAGTAATCAAAATAATTTTTATTTTATCAATAAAATATTGCATCTTTTTATCTTGATAAATGTTGATTTAAAAGTGTTTTTAAAAATTATTCGAACTCTTAAACGAAGCCAATGCAAAAATTTAAAAATAATAAAAAAAATATATTTTATTATAATTATTTAAAAGAGATTATTTTCTCATTTCAAGTTAGAAAATTTCAAAACATGTTAGAGTGTTAAAAAAAAGAAAAATAATTGAATAGTCCTCGTGTTGAATAAAATAGACAATGCAACGCAACTTTTGCAAATTTCGAACAAAAGTTTCTTAATTGTCATTAAGTTTATTTCTGATCTTATCTCGATGTTTAGGAAAGTTTGTGCCAGAAGTTAAAAAGAAGAACATATACCTAACTATAAGTATTAATAAAAATACTAAAATAATCGTCAATAAATGATACTTTCTTTAGTCCGCTTCTTTCAATGTAAAATAAACTATAATTTCAATTTACTTTTTAACTTTTTTTAATTTTAAGAAAAAGATAAACAGTAAGTTAAATCAAGATTGAAGTTAATCTACATTGGTAATAGAAATAGATATTAACCAACAAAAAATATTTGTTATCAAGATTATATTGAATGAATCTTATGATATGAATAAATAATTTATTATTTTTCGAAGGGGGGGGGAGGGTGGGCTTAAAAAGACTTCCGTATACAAATCAGAAAGTATCAGTTATCATACGTATAATTAATTTATTCGACATGCAATTATACAAAATTATATGCAAAAACATCATGCTAAAATGAATGTCTATT